CTCTGCTTTTATGTTGTTGTTAGGTGCTCTCTCAGTCGGTTCCATCTCATAGCGACCCTGTGTACAACAGAACGAAACACTGCCGGGTCCTGAGCCATCCTCAAAATTCTTGCTTTGTTTGAACCCATTGTTGCAGCCACTGTATCAATGCATCTCGTTGAGGATCTTCCTCTTTTTCGCTGACCCTCTACGCCTCTACGTTACCAAACGCGATGTCCTTCTCCAGGGACTGGTCCCTCCTGATAACTTGTCCAAACTACGTGAATCAAAGTCTTGCCATCCTCGCTTGGAAGGAGCACTCTGGCAGTACTTCTTCCAAGACAGATTTGTTCGTTCTGCTGGCATTCCGTGGTATATTCAATGTTCTTTGCCAACACTGTAACTCAAATGCATCAGTTCTTCTTTGGTCTTCCTTATTCATTGTTCAGCTTTCGCATGCCTGTGAGGCCATTGAAAATATCATGGCTTCATCATTTCTTCCAGTTGCTTGAGCTCCTCTACATTCAAGAGCAAGTTCAGAATCTCTTCTGACATCCATTTTGGTCTTTTCTTTCTTTCCTGTCTTTTTAATGACCTTTTGCTTTCCTCATGTGTGATGTCCTTGATGTCATTCCACAACTCATCTGGTCTTCGGTCATTAGTGTTCAATGCATCAAATCTATTCTTGAGATGGTCTTTAAATTCAGGTGGGGTATACTCAGTGTTGTACTTTGGCTTTCATGGAGTTATTTTAATTTTCTTCAGCTTCAACTTGAACTTGCATATGAGCAATTGATAGTCTTGTTCGTAGTTGGCCCCTGGCCTTGTTCTGACTGATGATATTGAGCTTTTCCATCGTCTCTTTCCACAGATGTAGCTGATTTGATTCCTGTTTATTCCATCTGGCGAGGTCCATGTGTGTAGTTGCCGTTTATGTTGTTAAAAAAAGGTATTTGCAATGAAGAAGCCGTTGGTCTTGCAAAATCTATCATGGCAATCTCTGGCGTCGTTTCTGTCACCAAGACCATATTTTCCAACTACCGATCCTTCTTCATTTCCAACTTTTGTGTTCTGATCACCAGTAATTATCAGTGCATCTTGGTTGCATGTTTGATCAGTTTCAGACTGCAGAAGTTGGTAAAAATCTTCAATTTCTTCATCTTTGCCCTTAGTGTTTGGTGGGTAAATTTGAATAATAGTCGTATTAATTGGTCTTCTTTGTAGGTGTATGGATATTATCCTATTACTGACAGTGTTGTACTTTAGGATAGATTTTGAAATGTTCTTTTTGACAATGAACGCGGTGCCATTCCTCTTCAATTTGTCATTCCCGGCATAGTAGACTATATGATTGTCCATTTCCAAATGGCCAATACCAGTCCATTTCAGCTCAGTAATGCCTAGGATACCAGTCTCAATGTGTTCCTTTTGATTTTTGATGACTTCTGATTTTCCTAGATTCATACTTCGTGCATTCCACATTCCAATTATTAATGGCTGTTTGCAGCTGTTTTTCCCATTTTGGGTTGTGCCACATCAGCAAATGAAGGTCCCAAAAGTTTGACTCTATCCGTGTCATTAAGGTCAGCTCTACTTTGAGGAGGCAGCTCTTCCCCAGTCGTATTTCGAGTGCCTTCCAACCTGTGGGGCTCATCTTCCAGCACTATATAGACAGTGTTCTGCTGCTATTCATAAGGTTTTTACTGGCCAGTTTTTTCAGAAGTAGACCGCCAAGTCCTTCTTCCTAGTCTTTCTTAGTCTGGAGGGTCCGCTGAAACCTGTCCACCATGGGTGACCCTACTGGTATTTGAAATACAGGTGGCATAGCTTCCAGTATCACCGCAACATGCAAGCCACCACAGTACAACAAACAGATGAGTGGTGGCTGTTATAGTCTTGGGGAAAAGGAAGTCTGGAAGCTCTCCTCCCCAGCCCTTTCTATGTAAAAGCCTCAGAGAGCAAGCCTGGTGTGTGAAGAGGGTCTTGAGAAAGTTCTGACTTTGCACCTCTATTTTAAATATTTCTGCACCTGTGAATTATCCCTAGCAACTTAAGTGTAGCCCGCTTCCCCTCTTCATTTCCGTTTTGCATGCCTCTTTTAAAGTGTGTTTGGGATAAAAAACTGAGGCAGGAGCCTCTTTTAATCTTCACTGCACCCAGGAGATGGGCAGAGTTATGCTGTCCCTTTAGCAGAAGAGGAAATGTAAGCTCTTGGGGAATTTAAATAACTCGCTCAAAGTCACAACAGCGTATTCTGGTTAGGCACCTAAGTCTGACTCCTCTTGGGTTTCCCAGTACTTGGCTTCTCCAGCAGAGTAGAGCACAGGGAACAGCCTCCAATATGAGCTCTTGCTGCCAGGCGAAAGAAGTGATTTAGAATTCAAAGCTTAGGCTGGGGATGAAACACAAAATTTGGGTTAGATTCTTGACATTTTTCTGCATAACTAGTTATTCCCTAGCTTTTGCTTTACAATGTACAATATGAAGACTGATTTATTATTTTTCTCCTAATATGAATCTAGTACAGGCAATAAATGATCGATGCCATAAAATCCTGACATACAGTACGTAGGTGAATTTTAATAAAAAGGAGACTAGGCAGAAAAAGAAAAAATAGCAGAAGCTTTTAAATACTTTAAATCTGTGGTTAGTTAATTGAATACGAATATTCTTCTTAAAACTTTCTTTGGCTGTATTTAGCTTGTAACATAAGATTCCTTTATGCCTTCACAAAAACATGAGTTGTAAGCCTGACAGGAAAGAGCTCTGGTGGCTCTGTGATTAAGCGCTCGCCTAGCGGTTTGAACCCACTGCTGCTCCGCAGGAGAAAAATGTGGCAGTCTGCTTCTGTAAAGATGACAGCTTTGGAAACCGCTGTGAGCAGTTCTACCTATAGGGTTGCAATGAGTCGGAGTTGACTCAATGGCAGTGAGTTTGAAGGCTGACACATTCCTGCCTGTTCTGGGTGTGGTGGGGGCAGCTAAGGGCAGGCATTCTAAGAGAGGTTCTCGCCAAAACCAAACCCGTTCCTGTCAGTGAATTCTGACTCTTGCAGTCCCTCTCTTTTTAATACTTAGGGAGGTAGTACACAGAAGGGAGGAAAGAAGCCCAGTGGGAGCCCAGCTTCCCCTTCTGTTTGGGATCTACTTGCTTTGTCTCTTGGCAACACTAAAGCAGTTTCTAGATTGTGTTCCAAGTGAGCCATGGTCACATGAGTCTGGGAAATGCAACATTCTTACCGCGAGCCCCAGCTCAACGATTTGAAGAGTCTTTGTGCATGTGAGCATTTAAATGTCCTGAGAAGTGTTACAGATAGGACTGTTCAGCTTTGTTTAAAATAGCACTTTGACACTAAAATCCATTTTATTGGAACATCTTTGATCATCTCGTAGAACATTAATATCCTACAGAAAACAATTTGGAAATATTGTGCTAAAATATTATTTAAATACATGAAGATTTGCAAAATAGTTGAGGGCTTTCATTATGTACATCCACATGACTGGAATTATGCTGACATTAAAAAGTGTAAGAGAATACCTAATGATATGGGAAAACTGCTTACAATATAATGTAAACTGAAAAAAGTAGGATATAAAACTATACTGAAAGATTCCAATTTTGTTTTAAAATATACATATAAAAGAAAAACGATTGGAAGGAAATACTCTTAAACCTCAACATAGTTGTAATTTGGCAGTGGGATTGCTGATGAACATTGATTTTCTTTTTTGGTATGAAAATTTCCAGATTGTCTGGAATAAGTGTGCTGAATTTATCTTTAAAAGGTTATTAAAAGAACTGTAAGAAAAGTTTCTTAATATAATGATCCTTATCTTAAATTTTGTGCTGTAAATTTGCTTAGCAAAGTCTTTAGTTCACAGATAGTGCAGAAATCCACTGAGCAAAGGACATTTCCAGGATGTCGAGACCCAAGAGGTCCTTAGGTGGCACGAAAGGTTTACACTCAACTACTAACCTAAAGGTTGGCGGTTCGAACCCACCCAGCTGTGCTGTGTAAGAGAGCCCTGGTGATCTGCAGGCAATCAGATCTGCAATCTCATAGCTACAAAAGAAACCAGGCTGGTTGAACAGTGAGTTCTCTGAGCACAGATTTCTGAAGAGACATACTCAAAGAGAAAACAAAGACAGTGGCACGTGCTTGTAAGAAAAGCAACGGCATGGCTTCCACTTCAGACCTGAGCCTTGCAATAGATGCTTTTAAATATTGAAAACAGTAATACCGTTATTACAGAAAGTGGAACGTATAACAGAGGAAGGGGATCTCAACTCCTGCTTTGTTTGTCTTCTTTATTTAGAACTGACAGGGAAGAATCACCTTTAGGAAAAGGAAATGGAAGGACAGGGTAGGTGAAGAGACTCTATGAGCCAGGCCTCAACTTGGTATGAAGAATGCACACAGCTATATCCAAGAAGCATATGGGACCCGGTGGTTTTTCAGACTCCTTTTGAGTATAGATTCTCTGATATAATTGTGTTTATTTGCAGTCATTATTAAAAAAAACAAAAAAACAACTTGAGTCACCCCAATCCAATGTAGCAGAGTAAAAAGAGGATTTGGAGTTTGCTTCTGTACTCTGCCCTTATTAGTTGTGTGATTTTGGACAAATTATTTAACTTCTTTGAAGTCATTTTCCTCAGCTACATGCCTGGCGCATAATGGAGGTTAGTTTTCCCTTTATGTCACTTCCAAGCTCGTGTGTTGATTCAAGCCCGTCTTCCCACCCTCAGACATGTGGTAAGGTCTGATTGAATGGTCCAGGTCCTGTGACCCTAGTTCTCCAAACAGTATTTTTTACCTTCCTTTTTTACTTCTTTCTCTCTTCTCTATCCTTAATTCTCTCTCCTTTATCCCCACCCCTGCTCTATACACACACTCACACACACACATTCGTATCTTTGACTGAAAAAATTATAATTTTGTTGGGGGGGGGGGAGAAAGCTTCTGGAATAATTTCTATGTGATGAGTAGTAATGCATTTCTTTTTCAAAAGCTTCAGCATCTATTGCCAGCCTCCGGGAACATTATTATAATCTGTGTATGGAAAAGTCCCAGAAAATTAATCCTTTTCTGTTGCATATACTCCACGAAGTGGATGAAGAAAGTAAAAAGGGGTAAGGAAGACAAGTACTTCATTATATCAGCAGCATTCACTGATAATTCATCTGTGTGAAAATTCTGAAACCTGAGTGATATTATAGCCATTTAAAAATACTTGGTAACACAGATGAATCTGGAGGGCATTATGTTGAGTGGAATAAGTCAATCACAAAAGGACAAATACTGTATCAGACCACCATTATAAAAACTCATGAAGAGGTTTCCACACAGAAAAAAACAATCTTTGATGATTATCAGGGAAGGGAGTGGTGGGGAGGGAGAAACACTAACTACACAGTAAATAAGTGGTAACTTTGGTGAAGGGTAAGACAGTACACAGTAGCGGGGAAGTCAGCACACCTTGACCAAGGCAAGGTCATGGAAGCTTCATAGACATATCCAGACTCCCTGAGGGACCAAATTACTGGGCTGGGGCTGGAGACCATGGTCTCAGGGGACATCTAGCTCAATTGGCATAACATAGTTTATAAAGAAAATGTTCTACATTCTATTATTGGTGAGTAGTGTCTGGGGTCTTAAAAGCTTGTGAGCAGCCATCTAAGATACTGCACTGGTCTCACCCTGTCTGGAGCAAGGGAGAATGAAGAAAACTAAAGACACACAGGGAAAGATTAGTCCAAAGGACTAATGGACCACAACTACCACAGCCTCCACCAGACTGAGTCTAGCACGACTAGATGGTGCCCGGCTACCTCCACCAACTGCTCTGACAGGGATCACAATAGAAGGTCCCAGACAGAACTGGAGAAAAATGTAGAACAAAATTCTAACTCACAAAAAAAAAACAGATTTACTAGTCTGACAGAGATTGGAGAAACCCTGAGAGTATGGTCCCTGGACACCCTTTTAACTCAGTACAGGAGTCACTCCTGAGGTTCACCCTTTAGCCAAAGATTAGACAGACCCATAAAACAAAACGAGACTTAATGGGCACACCAGCCCGGGGCAAGGGCGAGAAGGCACAAGAGGACAGGAAAGCTGGTAGTGGGAAGCCATGGTCGAGAGAGGGAGAGTGTTGACATGTCGTGGGGTTGGCAACCAGTGTCACAAAACAATATGTGTATTGTTTAATGAGAAACTAATTTGCTCGGTAAACCTTCATCTAAAGCACAGTAAAAAAACAAAACAAGAAATCCTTGGTAAAATGGACATAATCCGTTGTCTCAGAAAGATCAAGTAGATGACCTGTTGGTAGGTCTTAGAGGCTGTGTAATACACTGGGGGGAACACTAGATTAGGAGCCCCCAAGCCTGGGCTTCAGATTTGTCCTTAACTCTTCTGAGCTGGCTGAACTTAGGCAAATAAATCACTGAAGAAGTCAATGTTTATCTATAAAGTGGAGATACTTTGTTTTTGTTTCTGTTTTTTTTTTTTTTTGTCAGAAATTAAATGATACTGGATATATTAAAGTGCTTTGCTGTAGAATGCCCAGTATTGTTTATCTGGTATAAGTCTACTATATTGTGGCACATACTTGATTCCAGTAACTGCTATTCATGACGTTACTATATACACATGAAGAAAAAACCTTTATTTTTTTACTGAGTTTCTTTCTTTGTACTTCAGAATCTTTTTTTAATTAATTTTTTTTTTATTTTAACAGGTTGGAAAAAGGAATCACATTAAATCTTTCTGGTAACAATCGCTTAATACCAGTGGAAAGAGTAACAAGTGAAGATTTTTGGATTCTTTCCAGAATTTTAAAGAAGAATCCATATGTTAATGGTTTGTCTCTTTAAGAATCAATACCTCCTGCTTTCCACTGACCTGATTTTTAAGTATTCATGATAAGGAATGTCAGCCTCTCTTCATCTGTGTCCTCCAGGTTTGGATGTTAGATACAACCTCTTAAAAGATGTTGGTGCATACTATGTTGTGAAACTGCTTCAGGTATTATTTTTCTACAAAATGTTCTTAGTTCTCCTGTTTACAGTGAAATCACTTAGGCTGATGGCACACACATAAAACACTAATTTTGCAAAATACCAAGGTCCTGACTCTGCTGTAACACTTGAAATACTATGAGATGGTGTCATAGAGCTGATACCTAGAGCTCCTGAGTCACCCTGTGCACACATGTTGTACACTATGGTTAAATAAATACATAAACATAGCCATGCTTTGAATCATTGGTCAAAGTTGAATATACAATTTCTTGTTTCATTTATATTGCAATTATATTTATGTTTAAATGAGAATGGTGATTTTTTTTTCCCTCTCAGTAGTAGTAGCTTTTGCTGCTATTCATAAGGTTTTCACTGGCTAATTTTATTCAGAAGTAGATGGCCAGGTCCTTCATCTTCGTCAGTCTTAATCTGGAAGCTCTGCTGAAACTATCCACTATGGGTGACCCTGCTGGTATTTGAAATACTGATAGCATAGCTTCCAGCATCACAGCAACATGCAAGCCACCACGGTACAACAAACTGAGAGAACAAGGAGATACTGCAGTGTTTAAAATCGGAAAAGGTGTGCGTCAGGGTTGCATCCTTTCACCATACTTATTCAGCCTTTATGCTGAGCAAATAATCTGAGAAGCTGGACTATATGAAGAAGAACACAGCGTCAAGATTAACAGCTTGTGATATGCAGATAACACAACCTTGCTTGCTGAAAGTGAAGTGGACTTGAAGCACTTACTGATGAAGATCCAAGACTACAGCCTTCAGTATGGATTACACTTCAACATAAAGGAAACAAAAATTGTCACAACTGAACCAACAAGCAACATCATGATAAATGGATAAAATATTGAAGTTGTCAAGGATTTCATTTAACTTGGATCCACAATCAATGCTCATGGAAGCAGCAGTCAAGAAATTAAATGACATATTGCATCGGGCAAATCTACTGCAAAAGACCTCTTTAAAGTGTTAAAAAGCAAAGATGTCACTTTGAGGACTAAGGTGCGCCTGACCCAAGCTGTGGTATTTTCAGTTGCCGCATATGCATACGAAATCTGGACAATAAGGAAGACCGAAGAAGAATTGATGCCTTTGAATTGTGGATATACCATGGACTGCCAGAAGAATGAATTAATCTATCTTAGAAGAAGTACAGCCAGAAAGCTCCTTAGAAGCAAGAATGGCGAGACTTTGTCTCACGTAGTTTGTACATGTTATCAAGAAGGACAAGTCCCTGGAGAGGGATATCATGCTTGGTAAAGTAGAGGGTCAGTGAAAGAGAGGAAGACCCTCAAAGAGATGGATTAACACAGTGACTGCAACAAGGGGCTCAAATCTAGCAACAATGGTGAGGATGGCGAAGGACCTGGTACTGTTTCGTTCCGTTGTACATAGGGTTGCTATGAGTCTGAACCAAATTGACAGCACCTAACAACAACAGTTGCTTTTGTTGCACTTTAAGTTTTTCTGGGTTTTGAAAACTTTTTTTGGAGGTAAAAGTTTTTACTTAAAATAGCTCTGAAATATGTATTATTGATCGATTTCCAGTAACACGTGTAATAACTTCTCTCCTTATTCTAGAAACAACATAATCTCATTTACTTAAACCTTATGTTTAATGATATTGGGCCTGAAGGTGGAGAACTGATTGCTAAAGCACTACATGTAAGCATTTATATACTTCAAACTAATAATTTATTTTGGAATTTTAACTTCTAATAGCTTGGATCAACAGAATCAAATATTAATGTGAACTTATGTTGTTTTAATATTACAGGAATGTGTATTTTTTATTGTAGTACTAACATATAACAAAAAAATTGCCATTTCAACATTTTTATGTGTACAGTTCAGTGACTTTAATTACATTCATCATGCTGTCCAACCATCAGCACTCTTCATTTCCAAATTTTTCCGTCACCCTTGTGATGGTTAAGACTGTGTGTCAACTTGGCTGGGCCATGATTCTCTGTGTTTTAATGTGATCACTCCCATGATTGAATATACTGTGAGTAGCCAATCAGATGAAAGGGAGTCTCCTTGGGGGTGTGGCCCGCATCTGTATATAAGCAGACATTCTGGCTTTTTGCTCTCTCTGGATCCTGTGGCTGCTTCCTGTTGTCTCATCTCCCGTTCTTGGGACTTGAGCTGTCATCTTATCTGTGGAACCTGGGATTCGTCCATCTGCACAGCCTGTGAGTGGGAGGCCTGCTCTCCAACCTTCCAATCTTGGGCTTGCCAGCTTCTACAGCTGTGTGACTTGGGAGAGGCCTCTACCCTGATCCACGGACTTGGGACATTCTAGCCTCTGCAATCACGTGAGCTGTTTCCTTGATATAATCTCTCTCTGTATATATATTTATACACTTTACTGGTTTTGCTTCTCTAGAGAACCCAGCCTAAGACAACCCTTAACAAAAACTCAGTGTCACCTAAGCAACGAATCCCCCTTCCCTCTCCCTATTATAGATATTTCATATGGTGGGATCATACATTGTTTGTCCTTTTGTGGTTGATTTCTTTTGTTCAGCATAATGTTTTCACGGTTCATCTTTGTTGTAGCATGTATCGGGACTTCATTTCTTTTTATGACTGAATAATATTTCATTGTATGTATATATGTTTTGTTTATCCATTTATCTTTTGATGAGCATTTATGTTGTGTTCTCCTTTTGGCTATTGTGAACAGTGCTGGAGTGAACATTGGTGTACAAGTATCTGTTTGTGCTCCTTTCAGTTCTTTTGGGTGGAATTGCTGGACCATATGGTAATTCTATGTTGAACTTTTTTTTTTGTACTTTAGATGAAGGTTTACAGAGCAAATTAGTTTCTCATTAAACAATAAATACACGTTATTTTGTGACATTGGTTGCCAACCCAACAACATGTCAGCACTCTCCCCTTCTTGATCTTGGGTTCCCCATTACCAGTTTTCCTGTCCCCTCCTGCCTTCTCGTCCTTGTCCCTGGGCTGGTATGCCCATTTAGTCTCGTTTTGTTTTATGAACCTGCCTAATCATTGGCTGAAGGGTGAACCTCAGGAGTAACTTCAGTACTGAGTTAAAAGGGTATCCGGGGACCATACTCTCAGGGTTACTCCAGTCTCTATTAGACTAGTAAGTCTGGTCTTTTTTTGTGAGTTAGAATTTTGCTCTACATTTTTCTCCAGCTCTGTCCAGGACCCTCTGTGGTGAACCCTCTCAGAACAATCAGTGGGATAGCCCGACACCATCTAGTTGTGCTGGATTCAATCTGGTGGAGGCTGTGGTAGTTGTGGTCCATTAGTCCTTTGAACTAATCTTTCCCTTGTGTCTTTGGTTTTCTTCATTCTCCCTTTCTCCAGATGGGGTGGGACCAGTGGAGTATTTTAGATGGCCACTCACAAGCTTTTACAACCCTAGATGCTACTCATCAAAGTAGGATGAAGAACATTTTCTTTATAAACTATATTATCCCAGTCAAGCAAGGTGTTCCCCAAGACTATGGTCCCCACAGCCCTCAGCCCAGTAATTTGGTCCCTCAGGGGGTTTGGATGTGTCTATGGAGCTTCCATGACCTTGCCTTGGTCAAGTTGTGCTGACTTCCCCAGTATTGTGTACTGTCTTACCCTACACCAAAGTGACCACTTATCTATTGTGTAGTTAATGTTTTTCCCTTCCTACCCCTCCCTTGTAACTATCAAAGATTGTTTCTTTCTGTGTGGAAACCTTTTCATGACTGTTTATAGTAGTGGTTTCATACAGTATTCGTCCTTTTGTGATTGACTTATTTCACTCAGCATAATGTCCTCCAGATTCATCCATGTTGTGGGATGCTTCGCAGATTGATCATTGTTATTTATTGTTGTGTAGTATTCCATTATGTGTTTGTACCATAGTTTGTTTATCCATTCATCTATTGAATAAATTGTTTCCATCTTTTTGCTATTGTGAATAATGCTGCATTGAACATGGGTGTGCATATGTCTATTTGTGTGACGGCTCTTATTTCTTTAGGATATATTCATAGGAGTGGCATTGCTGGATAATATGGTATTTCTTTCTAGCTTTTTAAGTAAGCACCATATCGTTTTCCAAAGTGGTTGTACCATTTTACATTCCCACCAGCAGTACATAAGAGTTCCAGTCTCCCCGCAGCCTCTCCAACATTTGTTATTTTCTGTTTTTTTTTAATTTGTGCCAGTAATGTGGGGGTGAGATGGTATCACATTGTAGTTTTGATCACTAATGGATAGTGATCTCGAGCATTTCCTCATGTGTCTGTTATCTTCTTGAATGTTTTCTTTGTTGAAGTGTCTCTTCATATCCTTTGCCCATTTTTAATTGGATTATTTGTCTTTTTGTTGTGGAGGTGTTAAATTTTCCCATAGATTTTAGCGATTAGACCTTTGTCGGATTTGTCGTAGCCAAAATTTTTTTCCCAGTCTGTAGGTTCTCTTTTTACTCTTTTGGCAATGTCTTTTGATGATCATAAGTGTTTAATTTTTAGAAGATCCCAGTTGTCATGGATTGAATTGTGTCCCCCCAAAATATCTGTCAACTTGGCCAGGTCATGATTCCCAGTATTGTATGATTGTCTGCCATTTTGTCATCTGATGTGATTTCCCTGTGTGTTATAAATCCTATTACTATAATGTTAATGAGATGGATGAGCGGCAGTTATATTGATGAGATCTACAAGATTAGATAGTGTCTTAAGCCAATCTCTTTTGAGATCTAAAAGAGAGAAGCGAGCAGAGAGACATAGGGACCTCATACCACCAAGAAAGCAGCACCAGGAGTAAAGTATGTCCTTTGGAACCGGGGTCCCTGCACCTGAGGTGCTCCTCAAACAGGGGAAGATTGATGACAAGGACCTTCCTCCAGAGCCAAAAGAGAGAAAGCCTTCCCTGGAGGTGATGCCCTAAATTTGGACTTGTAGCCTACTAGACTGTGAGAGAATAAATTTCTCTTTGTTAAAGCCATCCACTTGTGGTATTTCTGTTATAGCAGCACTAGATGACTAAGACACCAGTTATCTAGCTTATCTTCTGGTGTTTGTGTATTGTTAGTTATGGTTTGTATGCTATTTACGCTGGGTATTAGGGCCTCTAGCATTGACCCAGTTTTTCCTTCTATGATATTTATAGTTTTTGGTTTTATATTTAGGTCTTTGATCCATTTTGAATTTGTTTTTTTGTATGGTGTGAGGTATGGGTCCTGTTCCATTCTTTTTTACACGTGGACATCCAGTTTTGCCAGCACCATTTGTTAAAAAGACTGTCTTTCCCCCATTTAATGGACTTCGAGACTTTGTCAAAGATCAGGTGACCTTAGGTGGATGGATGTACATCTGGGTTCTTGATTCTGTTCCATTGGTTAGTGTCTGTCATTGTACCAGTACTAGGCTTTTTTTGACTACCATAGCTGTATAGTCGATTCTGAGGTCAGGTAGTGTGAGTCCTCCTACATTATTCTTTTCCTTCAGTGGTGCTTTATTCCAGGTCCTCTTTCCTTTCCATATAAAGTTGATGATAAGTTTTTCCTCTCGTTAAAAAATTCTGTTGGTATTTGGATCAGGATTGCATTGTATTTGTTGATTGCTTTGGATAGAATTGACATTTTCACAATGTTGAATCTACCTATCCATGAGAATGGTATGTTTTTCCATTTATGTAGGTCTCGTTTGGTTTCTTGCAGTAGTGTCTTGTAGTTTTC